GATATACTTGGCATGAATTGCAACAAAAAGAAACTTAAATTTCCAATTGTTAGAAAGAGAAAAGTAATATAGGCAAAAGAAGTCTTTAATATAAAAAAAAATAAAGTATAAATAATTAATATGTTAAATCAAATTAATTTAAGATTAAGTCTTGGAATACTAATGTGAAATAAAAGAAAATTTTCTTCTATAGCTATAATCTTTTTAAATGGACATTTAACAAAGACTAAAATAACTTAATTTTTAAAAATAATTAATTTTTATAAGAAAATTAATATCAGAAAAACTCATATTTTTAAAGTCTGTGCAAGTTGGAGGTAGGTCCACAACTGCATTTGCCAACTTTAGAAGATACTATTTCTATAACTTTCTAATAATGAGACAATAATTGATTAAATACCATTATACAAACATTGGCATTTAACAAAGATTAAGATAACTTATTCTTAAAATTAATTAATTTTTATAATAAAATTAACATTAAAAAAACTCATTTTTAAAGCCTTTGCAAGTTGCAGTTAGGTTCACAACTGTATTTGCCAACTTTAGAAGATATTACTTCTATAACTTTCTAATAATGAGACAGTAATTGACTAAATACCATTATACCTAGTCACACAAGTTATCAAAATTTATACGTTAACACTAATATAATAAATAATATTTAATGGATAGCAAATTTCACAAAGCTTTCTATTGCTACATTGTTGCATTGTAAAGATATGCAATATGCATATAATAATTCACTGTACATCAATTTTTTTAATCTCTTTTATCATATTATTTATTGTTTTTCAATATTTTCTTTTATTTTTTTTAAATTATATAAATCGTTGTACGATTTCTATTATCTCTTATTTCATTTGGATGTATATATATTTTATACTATTCTCGTGACTAACAAATAAAGGTCTCTCAACTATTTCAATTGTTTTATTTGTATACTTATTTTTCTTGACTATCTATATCTCTTTTAATGTACTTTTTTATATCTAGATATATCTAAAATTGATTTTCAATAGTTTTTTTTTAAAGAATTTGTTAAAGTTAAAAATTACATTATATTACAATTTAAATTATTCATTGCAAAGCTGAAATAGAATTAATATATACACTAAAAAAATTTATTATAAACTTTAATTGTATAAAAATAGGATAAAATAGTCCATGGACTAACAACATGAAAATTTATGCACTATCTATAAAAATTTTCCATGCATAATAAATTTATTTCCTTTTACAAATCTTTCTTAAAATGTGTACATACCCTGATTTGTGATTAGTTATGAAAAATAAACAGAATTGTGTAAAAATATAGAGTGGTTTTTAATCTAAATATATAAAAGTTCATTGCTTAAAAATATTTTTATTTTTTGTTAATTTCTCTAAAAAATTGTTTTCTTAAAAAATCAATAAAAAATACTACTTTTTATAAGCTAAATTAAATGCACATGTATACTCATTCACGTTTTCCATTTAACCAAATTAAATGTCGATATAAAAACTTACACGGCAACAACTCATCAAAACTTCAGGTAACAAAATTTAATAAATACTACAGTATTTAACTATTTATTATGAATAGAATTTAAGAGTGTTTATTGCGTAAAAAATACAAAATTTATACAGTTATTTGAGATTTGATGGCCGTATTATCCAAATAGAAATAAAATTATACTTTAGCACTCTCCTTGTATCATTTTATTTGACGCTTTAGAAAAAATATATAGAAAAAATATATATCGTTTTATGTGTCATTTTATAATATTAATAAATCATTAAATGTGTTTCATTTTATTATGGTATATTTATAATTATTTATAGCAATTTTAGAAAATATAAAAAATATATATAATTGAGAGAAATCTAATTTATATAAAAGATATACCAAGAATTTGTATGATAATTTTATGAAAATATTAATTACATTTTTTAATGTATGTGTAAAACTTTAAACATTAAACAAAAACGAGACAAAAGAGTTGTTTGCATAATAAAAGTTTGCATTGAATATTAATACAAATTATCGAGAATAATCTTTAATTTTGATCGAGAATAATACCAACTGTCTAAAATATACTGTATCTAAGTTTTATTTGTAAAAAAAATGCATAGGAATAGACGAGTGATTAAAAAACATATTTTTAAGCAAACTTTATATTTGAAAGAAGGGGTAAAAAAGCTTGTTTTTTAAGAATTAATTGCTTATTTAATTTATAATATTTTTACACAAAAATTTATATAAGAAACATTTTTTTTTTAAAATTTAACTTAACTACGTACATACCGTTTATATACACTCATTGTGTGCATTAACCAATCATGCATGTTAATCTCTGTATAAATCTTGTACCTTAACAAGTTATCCAAACTGGAACGATAACAATATAATAAATGCTTATTTAATTGAAATGAATAAAATTTCACAAACATTTATCATGATGAGATGTCTATTAACACACTCTCTGTCTTTTGGGCAAAGACATGCACACAAATTCTATTGTGGAACCCATGTTTAATGGACGACCTCAACGTAAAAGAAAATAATGATTGGCAAAAAACTTATAAAGGCCCAAAATAGGAAGAAAAAACACTTAGTAAATGAAAAATAGACTCATCACCTCTAAAATTCAAGAAAAAGAAGTTCGAGCCTAAAGCAAGACTTATGGCCTCTAAGACCTAAAACTAAAGTTCAATTCCAAGATGAAAACTGAAAACAATTTATCGAGGTAAAAATAATAAAAAAGAAAAGAAAAATTTAGGCAAAGGTGAAAATCAATCGGTCCATCTCAAATTTTCAGTTCCACCAAGTAGATGACAAACTATCTTCATATCATATGATTATTAAGATATTAAACGATTACTTGCAATAATATATAAGTAGTGAATAATTATTAAGATATTAGAAGTTCATGACTTGTATTAAACTAACTTGATTTATACTTTTTTTTTTATATATGTTTAAGATATAACTTGATTTAAATATATTTTTAGTCCTTTAAATTTAAGATAAATTTATTTTTGGTCTTTCAAATTTAAAATTGATGTTTATAATCTCTGTAATTTTTAAAAGTCTTATTTTAATCTTTATATTCAAATTGTATTAAAAAATTTATCAAACATTATTGTATAAAATCTACTTATTAGTGTCTCTGTTAATGAAAATATTACATTAAATCCAATTAATATTATATAACCCTCTTAATTTGTCATTTTTAGATATATTATTAGTGATACAAGGAATTAAAATAAATTTTTTTTAAATTACAGAAACTAAAAATAATGGTTTTAAATTTTATTATAGTGTGAATTGATTGTTATTTATTAAGTTACGATAAATTGACTTATATATTTTTTATTAATAACAATTTTAAATGTATTGTCTTATAATTGTGTACTTATTTATTTGTTCATAAATATGTTTTTAGTTAAATTTTTTTTAATAATAAATAATTATCGATCTTTATATATTAAACTCAAATTTTTATTTGGCACAAAAGTATTTTTAAGAGTTTTTTTTTTCAACAAGAGGATTTTTAGTATTTTATTTTAACTCTTATCTAAATTGATTTTTATATATCAACTATTACATATTAAATATGAATCTAAATAAATTATTTTTGAGAAATTTTTTTCAATGATAAGATTTTTAGATATTTTTTAAATATTTTATCTAATTCAAATTTTATTTATTATAACTATTTACAAATTAAATTTTAATATTTTTAAAATAAATTATCAATAAATAAAAATAATATTGTTCTAAAATATAAGTTATTTATTATAAATTTAAAATATAACTTATATATTTAAAAATATTTATCTATACAAATTTTAAATATCAACTATATATTTAAACATAATATCCATTTATACGTAATATAATTTATTATAAATTTTAATTAATTTAATAAATATTTAATCTGTGTATTATATATACTAAAATACTAGTTTAGATAAATATTTAAATTTGACCTCAAAACCCTCTTTAATCTAAGTGGTCCGATACCACTCAACCCATTGTCATCTTTTTTTGGTCAGAAGGGCAGAGTATGAAAACACCAAAAAGGAAGCCCAAGAAATAAATATAGGCCCAAAGTACAGTTACATGAACAAGGCTAATGACAGCTTTAAAACCCGTTTTATTTTGTTAAAGACAAGTCATATATACACTCATTTTTAATAAATATGTCTCTTTCTCTATTTTTATTAAAAAAAATATAAGTACTTTTTTAATTCATTTTTTAAATAAAAATTTATCTTCTTCACTCACTCTCTCTTAGTTCACTTATTTTCTTTCACTATTTTATCTGTGTCTAACTATTTTTTTGTTGATTCCTCTTTTTCGCTCACCTTTAAACCTTAATTTCACCCCGTCTTCTATATTGCATACTTTAATAGAATATTGTGGATTGTTTTGAATGTATCATTTTGAGAGGTATATATGTTCCGTTGGTTTTATGGTAAAATAATTAATTAAAATAATGTTTTTTTTATTATAAGAGAAAAGTAATTTTTGAAATTATGTTTTGTGATTCTTAAAATAAACATTAATTAACATTTAACAAAAAATGTTACAAAAATGAAATCAATCACAAAACAAAAGTGAGAAATACAACAAATATAAGAAGAAAATGAATAAGCTGCACACTATTGGAAAAATGAAAATAACAAAAAAAAGTAACCAAAATATTTTTATAATAGCCAAAAAAATATTAATTCATGTGATGTGGGGAGAAACATTCGTACCAATGATACAAACAAGTTTCATGTAATGTGAGGTTTATTGTAATTTAAATAATTTATAAAATATAAAAAAACAAAAATCGAAAGGGGTGTAAAAGTAAAAGGACAATGCAATATCATCCCTTCCAACAAAAAAGATGAAAAACTTGGTCAATTTATGTAACATTTAGGTATAAGGTTAAATTTGGGCAAATATTGTCTGATAAGCAAATAGATGCAAGAAAATATTATAAAAACTAAACAACTTTGTGATTTACAATGATGCGATGAGAATGATCGTCAAACATTGAGGAAGTAGTAACATGATTCCCAATCCCAACGTTTATTCAATGAGCGAGGAGGGGAAAAACAGGGGAATAGCCATCGATAATGAAAACCCTTATTATGGCACATTTCAAGGTGTGACTAACTACTATCCTCACAATCAACATCCACCTTCCCCTTCTGGTGTCCCTTACGCTTATTATCAACGACAAGGATATCATTCCATCCCAGGTACTCAATACCAATGTTGATTTAAACAATATACATGATAATTCTTATGTTTTTATCATTTCATGTTGTTACAGCAAAATGAAATAAGATTAATAATGTACACACATAATATAATGCTCTTATGTTTCAAGATACAAAAGTAAGTTTTTAAAAAGTATATATAAATAATAATTTTTTTATGCTATGCAAGTTTATGTCGCTGCTGAAGGAAGACCCGTAAGAGAATATCGTCTTCCTTGTTGCGGACTTGGTCTTGGTTGGTTCTTGTAAGTTTGCTTTTTATATTACTAGTGTTTTGAAAGTGTTAAAGAGAACACAAACATTACAATACTCACCTAAGATAAGTAGTTTTTTTTTCTTTCTAATGACATTAACTATCTTCCTTGTTGCGGACTTGGTCTTGGTTGGTTCTTGTAAGTTTGCTTTTTATATTACTAGTGTTTTGAAAGTGTTAAAGAGAACACAAACATTACAATACTCACCTAAGATAAGTAGTTTTTTTTTCTTTCTAATGACATTAACTATTGCAACTTGACATGCATTGCAAGGTTTATATGTGGCTGGTTTCTTGGGGGTGTCCCCTGGTATTTTGGAACTTTCATTCTGATGTTTGTACAGATGGATTGTCGAGAAAAACCTGGATTAATTGCATGTGCGCTTGCTGTAAGTTTTATTGCTAATTATTTATTTTTTTCACATGCTTTATGTTTTCTTGAATGCATAAATAATTATAAGACTTGTCATGCCATGATTGATAAGGGCTAAAAATATTTTGGAATATAATTTGGTTACTAGTTTTTTTAATTTTTAAATATTTATCACATGTATTTTACATTGTTTGTTGAATATATCAAATAATTTATAGATGTTTTGTTGCCAGAATATCATTTGCTAATTCGTTAAGTGTTATGTTGATATATTGCAAATTAGTCATCTAATTGAAAAACATAGTTAAAAATGTGTTTTCATTCTCTAATTACAGAAATGACTTTAGTGACATAGTCTAGTTATGATTTGTAAATATTCTTTAAAATTATATGCTTATGTTATTTAGAAAGTAGAATTTTCATTATAATTGAAAAACATTGCGTGAGATGTGTGTTACATGTTTTGTTATCTTATTAATTGGTCACTACAAAAAGGAAATAAATGGTTGACATTAAGAACAATGCTAAATACATTAGGTTGTTGTATATATCAACATATAATAATGCTTTAAGGTTATTTTTTCCATGTTAAGAACCTCCTTACTACAATCAATGAATGAATAGAATATACAAAAATGGATCATTATTCGTAAGATATCAAATTAATTGTTTATCCTCAATTTCATTAACCATTATCTCCTACATATAATTTAACTCACGTTAGTGTGTTATATATCTACATTGCTCCATTTTATTCTACTATTGGGGCAGAGTTGTACATATCTTATAAGTTTGTCATGTTACTTTGAAAGATGCAAGTGTCAAGGGTTTAAAACATTTTAAGATACATTGTAAGTAGATCGTGTAAAATGCGTAATGATGAAAAACAATAAAAGACAATTTTGCAATTCACATGCATAATAAGATTCTAGTTGTTAGCCTATATCCAATCATCCCATGGTTATTACAACAATAATGATGATGCATGCATGTGAACTTATTTTTTCAATACTTTATTTTATGAGCATTTAACTATTTAAGGCACAACTTGATTTCAAAAATATAATGTATTATCTAGTTACACTCACACATATAACGACTTAGAGAGTAAGCTTTCTTTTTATATGCTAAATGGGGTCAAAGTACGAGAACATACTAAGGCGAAAAAACTATAATATAATTGTTATTGTTGTTTTCAATATTTTAATTATTTAAGAATGATGTTACTCATACATACACCATTGTAATATTTTAAATATTGATGTACACCAATCATTATTACTGTTTCGAATTCACTAAAGCAAATGTTCACAAACTTCATCTTCATAAGTATTCAAAATAATATAGATGAAACCTCTAAGTTAGTATTTAAAAAACTATTGTGTCACCACATTATTGATTTTAAAATCATATTCAATACCTAAACATTTCACAAAGACACCAAACTTGTATAATGAAATTTTTGAATGTTATTAATGATTTAAAATATAATTTTAGTAAAAAAATGCATTTTAAAGATTAGTAGAATAATTACAAGTGTTTAGTACAGTAATTTATTAGCTTATTTAATTATTTGTTACTATCATTTATTAGTTATATGATTTTGTTTTCTATGTGTTCACTTTAACTGTGTACTTGAATTTACAGTCCTTCGTCACTTTAATAATTGTTGCCCTTGGTGTCACGCATGGAGATCTTGGTAATTGGACATGAAGCACAACTTTTATTGTACCTTTGGACATGCACAATGTTGTGAAACTTGTTGTAATCTACATTGACACCAAAATATACTCTTAAATATTGACTATGTTATAATATAGTATTACCACCAATCTTTCTATCACCTTCCTAACACCAACACTTTGGTTACTAATTCATTGCTTTTACCACTATTATAGCGACATTATCCAAGGTTGTCTTAAAGTGCATTTTGTAATGTTAGATTGACAATTAAATATAGTTAACATTTATCGAAGAATATATATTTGATAAGGTGCAACAATTTGAATAATTACTTGATATATTTTATATCATACTTATTTTGAAATTGTTGATCCCCTTTTAATCAAATATTGACAAAGTCAAACTACCATGATCAACTTATAGTGATTGAGAATAAAATAATATGCATAATTAGATTTAAACTTTCTTTGTCATTGTAGTTTTGATTGATAAAAAAAGTACCAAAGTCTTAATGAAAGATTTGCAGGCTTGCCTACGGGTAGGATGGATTGAATCCTTTATTGGTGTCCATGCTCCTACTCCTTTAGCAGGTGCAAAAACAAAGTTAAGTAGATTTTTTTTATTAGAGAAGTGTACGGTTAAATAAATAGAAATGAATATATGTACTCATATTATTTTAATTGAATGGAAGTGTTACAATAACAACTAAAACTTTGAATCTATTATTAGGGAAATATTGTATACAACTTTGAAAGATAAATGACTCCACTGAAAAAAAGATTTGTATATTTGGAAGGTGACTCATTAATTTTCTTATATAAGTGCAAATAAATAAGAAAAAGATTATATAATAAGATCACGTGAGTATGTCATTTTATTTTCATAATCTCATTATCATTTTTTGATTGAGTGGAAATATGAAAAAAAATAATTCAACTGAAGTTATCCTCACTACAAGAAAAAATAGTTTTTGTGACGATGACATTCATCATTAAAAACCTGCAAGTACATCAAGAGTAATCATCAATAAAAGTTACAAAATATTGAAATCCTAAAGTGGACCTAACTCGACTTGGCCCCCAAATATCAGAGTGAACTAAAGCAAAAGAAGACAACGCTCGGTTGGGGACACTCCGAGAAAAGGAACTACGACTATGTTTGCCTAATTGACACGACTCACGACAAATGAGACAACTTAGACAGACGTGGTACAAGGTGTTGAAGTTTGGCAAGGTTAGGATGACCTAATTGGGCATGGAGGAGAGAAGGGGAATCCACCACCAAACCAACAGGAGCAGAAGTGCGTAGGTGATAAAGGCCATGGGACTCACATCCAGTGCCAATCATCCGTCCCGAACTCCAGTCATGTAAGAAAACAAAATTTTTAGTAAAAGAGATAAGACAATCAAGAGAGCGAGTAAGACGACTAAGTGATAATAAATTAAAGGGAGACTCTGGGACATAAAGAACACTGTCAATGGAGAGAGAAGGAGAAAGATGGACAGTACCAACACTATGAGAGGTGGTGCGAGAGCCATTAGCCATAATGATAAAGGGCAATGGTGCCATTAGGACCAACCTTGACTGTAAAGATCCATCAACATCCAACCACAGACTTCCCAGGAGGCAAAGAAACAAGATCCAAAGTACCATTATTTTGAAGAGCACACAGTTCATCAAGCATGGCTTGTCTCCAACCAGGGTGGGCTAAGGCATCACCTATAGTTTTAGGAATAGACACAGAGGAAAGAGAAGACAAGTATATTGGTAAGAGGATAACTTGTGATAACTCAAAGTAATATAATGAGGGGAAGGATTACGATTACCTTTCCGGAGGGCAATTGGGAGGTCGGACTCAAGTGGTGGCACCGGAGTAGAGTTGGGAGGGGGCCCAGTAGGAAGGTGAGAGAGTTGCTGACGATGATAAACTTGAAGGGGAGGCGCGGTTGGTCGGTCAGGTGACACAGTAGACACAAGAGGAGTATCAAAGATTAGTGGGGTGGGTGAAGGGGCAAGGACAGGTGCAGAAGAAGAGGAAGTAGAAGGAAAGTAGAAAGAAGACTCGAGAAAGGTGACATTAGCTAAAATTAAATAGTGACGAAGGGAGGATGAGAAACATTTATACCCTTTTTGAGACCTAGGATACCCTAAAAAGACACATTTATGAGATCGAGCGGATAGTTTGTCAAGACTAGGACTGTGATTATGGACAGAACAAGTAGGTTCAAAGACGCGGGGAGGTAGAGGGTGGAGAGGTTGATTGGGGAACAAAATAGAGTGAGGTATTTGATTGTTGAGAACAGAAGATGGCATGCGATTGATGAGATAACATGTAGTGAGAACAATATCGCCCCAAAAAAGTTGAGGAACATGACCATGAAGTAAAAGGCTGCGAGTGGTCTCAATTAAGTGTCTATTTTTGCGCTCAGCCACCCCATTTTGTTGAGGGGTATTTGCACAAGATGTCTGATGCAAAATACCATAGGAAGCCATAAAGGCTTGAAAGGAGTGAGAGAAGTATTCATGAGCATTATCACTACAAAAAGTACAAATAGAAACACCAAATTGATTCTGAATTTCATTATAAAAGGATTGAAAGATGGAAAATAATTCCGATCGAGTTTTTATTAAAAATAACCAAGTACATCAAGAGTAATCATCAATAAAAGTTACAAAATATTGAAATCCTAAAGTGGACCTAACTCGACTTGGCCCCCAAATATCAGAGTGAACTAAAGCAAAAGAAGACAACGCTCGGTTGGGGACACTCCGAGAAAAGGAACTACGACTATGTTTGCCTAATTGACACGACTCACGACAAATGAGACAACTTAGACAGACGTGGTACAAGGTGTTGAAGTTTGGCAAGGTTAGGATGACCTAATTGGGCATGGAGGAGAGAAGGGGAATCCACCACCAAACCAACAGGAGCAGAAGTGCGTAGGTGATAAAGGCCATGGGACTCACATCCAGTGCCAATCATCCGTCCCTTGCGGGCTTTTCAAGTTCTGTGTTCAGCCCTAGGGATAGAGGTGTCTCTTCCCGTTTTTCCCCATTTTTACCAGTTGAAAATAGGGGTTCCTCCTTATGGCTTACTGTTTCTGAGTGGGAGTAAGGATGGGGGTCTATTTTCCCTTTACTCCCAGTCATATAAAAATTTCAAACAAGAATTTTTCCGGGTGGCGCTCGTGGATGTCAACCCATTGGAGGATGGGGCGTTCTACTTCGGCGGGTTGCCAAAGTTCCCGTTCTATTGGCGGCCAGCCCCGACTAGATTTCACGGGGTGGGGAAATTGCAAATGATGAACCGAAACATCTAGGCTTCAAGACCCATGTGAATGCCCCATGTCGCTTCCTGGAACAGTTACCCTGCCTCAAACTTGACGATTGCAAAAGAATAAAACCCTACTTTGACTTTAAAATGTTAGTGCCTTCATCATGATCAACGCTCACCATTCGATTAAAATGGTTCATCTCATTTCACTTTCACATGCGTCCTCTTACTCTTTCATTCTCGCACCAACTCTTGTCCCACCCCCTCCCGCTCTCGTTGTCATGGGTGTTGGCTTTGGAGTTGTATTGGTGTCTAGAAAATCTAGACATAAATGGTTCGGCTACTCAGAAGGATAATATCATTATTCATGAGCTAATCATGTTCAGAAGATTATAACTATCTTATGTGACACCCTCTACCCCGACATAATACACAATATTTGTAAGATAAAATTTGAATGAATAAAAACTTTCTCAATTAGCAAATAGGTAAAGGATTCACATTCACACACATAATCATAGTTCACTTGCGAAAATTATAAAAGAAATAAAGTTATAAGTTTTCCAAAAAAGAAAGAAACTAAAGTCTTAAACTAGTCCTAACTATGCCCCGATGTCACATATCCTATCAGAGAACTCCCAATAATCAATGTATAAAATGATTTTATGATTATCCGTCAATTTATAGATTTGATATATGCATTAAAAATTTTAAATTGAACGGTTGGATCGTTAAAATTTGATGTAGAACATGAGTTATATATTGAACTGAGTAAGTTTAGGTAGACTTACTCTTGGAATAAAAGGATCTCTCCTCATATATATATATATTCCACAATATAACTTTTACCATTACACAGTTCAAAAACTTTTAATTGAATGATGTTTTGTCGAAATTCACTATTAAATTGAAAGTTCTATTCACGTAGATAATATATACTAAATTTTATATTAATTCAAAATTATTTAATATCATATTTATAAAGAATAAAATTGACGTAATACATATTTTTTACAATATAATAAAATATGAATCACTTAATTACCTTTTTATTATTGCTCATTATTTTACAAAATTCAACATACATATTCAAAGTAATCCCTGGCAAAATTAGTGGTTGACAAAGCAATGGATAATCGGTATTAATAAAATAATTATAAAAAATACAATATAAAATTAAAATTCAACTATTCAATTTTTAGTAAAAGAGATAAGACAATCAAGAGAGCGAGTAAGACGACTAAGTGATAATAAATTAAAGGGAGACTTTGGGACATAAAGAACATTGTCAATGGAGAGAGAAGGAGAAAGATGGACAGTACCAACACCATGAGATGTGGCGCGAGAACCATTAGCCATAGTGATAGAGGGTAAATAAGCAGAGGTAGAAAGAGAGGAGAAAAGAGACCGATTACCAGAA